TCCAAAATATAACAGCGACATGTGATGTTATGCACAAGGTATCCAAAATATAACAGCGACTTGTGTGATGTTATGCGTAAGGTATTCAAAATATAACAGCGACATGTGTGATGTTATGCACAAGGTATCCAAAATATAACAGCGACTTGTGTGATGTTTTGCACAAGGAATCCAAAATATAACAGGGGCATATGTGATGTTTTGCGCAAGGTATCCAAAATATAACATTGGCATATGTGATGTTTTGCACAAGGTATCCAAAATATAACAGCGACATGTGAGGTTATGCACAAGGTATCCCAAATATAACAGCGACTTGTGTGATGTTTTGCACAAGGTATCCAAAATTTAACAGCGACTTGTGAGATATTATGCACAAGGTATCCAAAATATAACATGGGTATATGTGATGTTATGCACAAGTTATTGAAAATATAACGATCATATGTATCATGGTTTCTATCAGCGGTATTCAACGTTCTTCTCATTGAAGACCTGGTGAGAGATATAGGCTTTTCTATTTGTATATGGCTGACTAAATCAATCTGAAAGATCTGTTTACACATGTGAGCGGGCATCTTATTTTCTCTACTTGAAGGTTATTGGTCTGTATCATATAATATAAACACATATAAGTATGACTAATTACTTGCATTAAAACTCGGTGTATGGTGTCATGTTAAAATATATATACTTTCATCATAAAATGTGTGCATAATGCTTTTAAATGTAATATATTTACAATGTACTTATGTATGTACATATGGTCTGGTCACTATACAGCTTCATGAACTCCATGTGAGTGAGTGAGTTTAGTTTTATGCCACACTCAGGAATATTCCGGCTATGTGACGGCGGTCTGTAGATAATCGAGTCTGGACCATACAATCCAGTGATCAACAGCATGAGCATCGATCTACGCAATTGGGAACCGGAACTCCATGTGAATCCCCGTGAAAGAGTTATGCAACCCTTTTACATCGCACGTCTGTACTACCATCACTGCCCACTGTGACACAGAACAATGTCTCCATGACGTCTATAGATATTTCCCAATGACTTAATAGCAACATTATATCGTTAACAAATCAACTAAACCCACACCAGATATTACATTTCCATGTGTGCACAGTGTGGCCTTACAGCAGCAATAAGAACAAAAGGAAATGAATACCTTAACCTTAAAGGAAATGAGTTCCTTGTCAGAGTACGGGAAGCTAAACAGACAAAATACCCATGGTCTCACTCAGTTAAGTCATCATGTTAAAGAGAAAGCATAAAGTATTGACAAAAATGGTCAGTTATATTTATTGGATGGATGAACATTTTAAAAACATAAAACACCCATACTTAATCATCATACCTGTCAGATGATGCAACATGTAATGATGGCAACGGAAACTGCTTCTTAAACTCAGGATTCGGATTTGGTGTCTGATTCAATAATTGTACAAGGATTTGTTTTGTCAGAGGGACAAGTTTAAAATAGAAAAAAAACATTGCTGTGGCGATGACGCTGCCATTATTTTGGTTCATTGTAGCTCTCGTCGTAAACGTCGTTTAGTGAACATAGTCAAGGTAGGAGTTTTGACATCGGGTTCCTGAGTTTTGATTCTGAAGATAATAGTGCTTAAGCATTGAATATTTTTTATCATGGTGTTCGGAATTTAGTTGTTTGACTACATGACAAACCTCTCCTGGGGGTTGTCGATAATGAGTATTGGATGAATAAGATGGCTGATTGTGTGTCAACTCACACATGCAATCGCGAATTGGTTTCCCTTGTGGATTAATTTGTATTAAGGTACGTTAAAGGACCACACTGTTTTCTGTTGTCACGGTAATCAGATTTATCGCTTGGGAAGGTCATTCCTCTTGGGAACGTGTCTCCGTAAAATTTGAAAACTGTCCATAATTTGATAACATAACATGAATCTCTATATGTGTCATTTCTAATATTTTGCTGCCAAACTTGTAGCATGTAGCATTGTCCAGAGCATTTACCATCCAATCCTTGTAACTTAATAACATATCAATTTGTTTTCCGAATGTTATTTTGTTCTGACACCAAAAACACGAATGTGACAATATTGACACTTGTGAACTGTTGGCCAGCACTAAAAGGTTGTTATTTACATGCTATTTCTATCTTGTTTCAGATGCCTCAGACTCGCTGGCTTGGTTGACACGTGTAATTGGTTCCCAAGTGCACAGATCGATGCTCATGCTGTTGATCACTGGGTTGTCTGGTCCAGACTCGATTATTTACTGACCGCCGCCATATAGCCGGAATATTGCTGAGTGCGGCGTAAAACAAAACTCACTCACCGAACTTAATGCTAGATCATCGGTTACCAAAGGTGTAAAATGTCAAACACCAATGTGTCGAACTTTGATTTCTCGAACCTACGGTTGTCTCGAAGTAAAAGTTTGGTTCCACGGTCAACCACATTTTGCGGCTGACTCAAACCTGGTATAACTCAAAATATATACATAGATTCTTTAGACTTCACGCAACTGTATTTGACTGTAAATCTCCAATAGGTCTTTGCATGACATTTAGTAGTGATGCACATAAGGAAGAGAGTTTTTATGGATGTCGACTTCTTTGTTATGACGAACACCACGTTTCGGGGTATATCCTTACTCCTTCATCAGGTGAATGAATGGTATGAGGCTGAGAGCATATTATATATGTACATGTAAGGAACAAAAGTAATAAGACAACAAAGATGCAGGCTAAACAATGGAAGCCAACAGCTAACTGATCATGACATTGATGTTGATTGTATTTAAGAAAATACTCTGGTCAACAGCATGAGCATCGATCTACGCAATTGGGAACCGGAACTCCATGTGAATCCCCGTGAAAGAGTTATGCAACCCTTTTACATCGCACGTCTGTACTACCATCACTGCCCACTGTGACACAGAACAATGTCTCCATGACGTCTATAGATATTTCCCAATGACTTAATAGCAACATTATATCGTTAACAAATCAACTAAACCCACACCAGATATTACATTTCCATGTGTGCACAGTGTGGCCTTACAGCAGCAATAAGAACAAAAGGAAATGAATACCTTAACCTTAAAGGAAATGAGTTCCTTGTCAGAGTACGGGAAGCTAAACAGACAAAATACCCATGGTCTCACTCAGTTAAGTCATCATGTTAAAGAGGACAGCAAACAAAACTCACTCACCGAACTTAATGCTAGATCATCGGTTACCAAAGGTGTAAAATGTCAAACACCAATGTGTCGAACTTTGCTTTCTCGAACCTACGGTTGTCTCGAAGTAAAAGTTTGGTTCCACGGTCAACCACATTTTGCGGCTGACTCAAACCTGGTATAACTCAAAATATATACATAGATTCTTTAGACTTAACGCAACTGTATTTGACTGTAAATCTCCAATAGGTCTTTGAATGACATTTAGTAGTGATGCACATAAGGAAGAGAGTTTTTATGGATGTCGACTTCTTTGTTATGACGAACACCACGTTTCGGAGTATATCCTTACTCCTTCATCAGGTGAATGAATGGTATGAGGCTGAGAGCATATTATATGTGTACATGTAAGGAACAAAAGTAATAAGACAACAAAGATGCAGGCTAAACAATGGAAGCCAACAGCTAACTGATCATGACATTGATGTTGATTGTATTTAAGAAAATACTCTGGTTGCACCCATGCTAAAAGCCTCGCCACCATCTTTAACGTATATAAAACTTTGTACAGAATGTGTCTCTGTGTAGAATTTGTCCGGAATGTATTATCTGATTGGATGGGTATATTTAGCGCCATTTCAATTGGATCAGTTGGAGATGTCATAATATATTAGATAATATATAATACCTACTGGGTAAAGTTTGCGCGTCCTGCCGACGAATCCCTACATGACACAATCCGTGAAACAGATTTCTGAAAATTAAAGTCCGGTTCATCAAATGTCCCATGCGACGCACTGCCTCAGTGGAATAAGGTTTGGCAAAGATAGTGTGAACCGTATCCATTCATTTCTATGGAACTGTCGATTGTTCGAGCGTTTCCGTCGTCAAGTTGAGCAAAGCTGTGAAGACATCCCCGTCTCATTGATTCTGCGAGGGTGGTGGTGTAGCCTAGTGGTTAAAGCTTTCGCTCGGTTTGCTGAAGACCCGGGTTCGATTTCCCACATTGGTACAATGTGTGAAGACCATATCTAGTGTCTCCCGCTGTCATATTGCTGGAATATTGCTACAAGCGGCGTAAAAACAAACTCTCTTACTCACCCATCGATTCTGCCGTTTGTTCAAGTCAGGTGATAGCAGTCAAACTAATAGCTACTGGATCTGCTGTAAGGAGCGTCTGATTCCAGATGTGCCCTTATAGAGTCTATCTGCACCTTGAATTTCATCAAAGAGATAAGCCTCATTTTCGCTTCCATCTTCCATTATACCGACACATTCTTTGCAACTGAAATACAAATGGCAGCAGCCTCAAGTCAAATATCGATTTTGTTTTTGTCTCCTATGGCAAATTGGTTTCGTGATTTGACTTATTTCCAAAATTAATGGCTGCTCGTCACATGACATAGTTGGAACGCAAGAACATGCAAGAAACGTTAATGCATGTAACATTTCACTGCTGACGTACTGATTGAGGGTAATTTCAGCAATTCCGAGGTTAACAGTCCATCGTCATGCTTTAATTTGAACTAAAAGTACTCCACTCGAGATTTGGTTTGGGGCCTGAAAACATATTTCTAACATGTCCGACATAGAATAATGGAGACAAATGACACAGACATCAATATATGTAGAGTTTAGTGGATGGTTCCGAATTGCCCTAAAGCACGATAAAGCAACTGTTTACAATAGCCCGAAGTGAATTACATTTATTTTCTCGTATGGTTAAGGTAAATCAATAATAAATAATATATGTACCTGATCAAATATATCCATGATCGACGAACAGCATATAATTGAACATATTCACCTTATCATTTCAGAGACCTGTCCACGAGAAAGCTTTGAATATCCTGTTTCCAGAACACATCGCCATCCAACGGCGATTGATCCATGTAAGGGAGGAAACCCAGATATTATAACATAGCCTAGATGAGAATAGCCATGATTTGTTCGTGTCGTAAGCGGTCTTTGGAAACCAATACTCCAATACTGGATGTGGAGAGAATACTACAAGATTATGCTTGGAAAGATTTTAAAGAAAAAAGTCGACGAGTTGAAAAGATATTCCTGCGCAGACGAGATTTCGATGTTGAGGTTCCTATGAACTACTTCCATTTTGAAGACACTGACACGATTCTAAAAACAAAAGATTCCAAACCAAAAACGAAAGCAGCAGCCGGTCAATCTATTTCAGAAACATCGGTCCTGCAGACACAGTTCAGAAACAACACCAATAAATGTCAGACGTACAAGTTCAGAACAGAAAGGACAAGGAAGGCCACGATCAGTGTCTCATTTCAGAGAGGTTTTTCAATTGGTGGGAAAGCTCAGTTTAAACTCGGACTCCCGAAGATGATGTCTCTAGGGTGCGATGTTGACATGAGACTGCAAATATCCAAAACGACTGGGGAAACGTTTGAAGAAACGCTGACATTTGAGGCTAATAGTGATATCAATGTGGAGGAAAACTGCGACTACACTGCGAATGTGGCCTTCACTGAGAAAGAAATATCAGCTGAGTTCATGGTGCAGACGTTCATGAGGATGCCGACAGGAACAGCGCCTGTGTACATCAGACGAAAACGAGACCATGAACTTTATGCAACAGTTTTTATAAACGACCTCAAAGACGTTTTCGCCGATTATAAAACTTCCGCAGAAATCATTGACGAGTCTGCTGTGGGTGCAAATGTTGCTCAGTATGCAATCGAGTTCACTACAACTGGAATTGTTGAGGGAATGCGGCTTTCTGGTCAGAAAATATATCTTGACTCTAAGAAGTTAGACAAGGGAGCTATTTCCCATCAGACAGTGATGACAGTGCTGAGGAAGACTCTACAGATGGCGCCTCCGTGTCTACGTCTCCGCCCTCTGATGCTGGCACTAACACAAGCATGGAGACACAATCGCTTCCTGAGGACAAGAATGAGGACGTTTTTGACAAGACGACACCTTGTTCTTTGGGAACGCCTTCTCCCAAACCAAGTCCCGGAAAACTACCCTCTAAGGATACGCATAAGGAAACAGGCAAAGTGCCACTAAAAGAAACAAAGTCTTCGTCAAGAGGATCTAAGGATGAGACTAAAGTCCCCACCCATGAGGTGAAGTCGCCAACGCAGGCTCCAAAGCCAAACGTGGTGAAGGAAGACAGCTTTGGCAAACACAAAATGGTGAAAGAGGACAGCCTTACCAAAGCTGATGCCACCAAACTTAAAGCAGAACCTCAAAGGGTTAAGCAAGAGTCACAAAAAAGTAAAAGATGTCCCAAAGGTGAAACCAGATCCCTCAAAGGTCCAGAATATTAAAATCCTTACAAAACAGTCCTCCAACCCTAAAAGAGTCCACAGACGCACCAGAGAAGCAAAAGGATGAGAAGTCAAAGGAAGAGAAGTCAAAGGATGAGAAGCCAAAGGAAGAAAAAGACAAAAGATGACAAGTCAAAGATGAAAACCAAAAGATGAGAAGGTAGTGCTTCGTCGAAGCTTCAAACATGAGACTTTGGAGAGAATGGAAAGGGTGTCATCGCTTTCTGAAAAGCCCAGAATTCTGCCTAAATCTGGGAGTTTACCCAGAGCGAGTGTTCATTCAATTGAACCGCAGAGTTCAGAGGAAGACAGCACAAGCAGTTTAAGCAAACTATCTAAGTGCACTAGTGTCTGATGAGAAGGCATACAATGACAACCCCATAGAACATTTAACAATGGTCACAGTACGTATGTCCTGACAATATTTCTGAATAACCAGGCAGTTAGGAATAGTAAACATGAGCATGAGGTATCTAATATATGTAAATACCAACTTTGTTCAATTCTGCTGAGACTTGTTGATACTACATTCACTTCATAGTAAGATCTTCAGGAAAACTAACCTACTTACGAGGACTACTTATGAGGAAAACTCCGACTTTACATTTTTCCAACCACGTGGATTCAAATGTAATAAAAGCATTAACGTCAACCATTGTATCATGACGTCATTTACGGAGGAGAAAGTGCTGCCGACACTTTCTGACAATGGTACCATTTAAGTGAAGGTTTCAATTATATATGGGCATCAAATGCTCTATAATGTCTGCAAATCTGAAAAAATGCTGTATATTTGCCAACTGATAAACGTGATTCCAATAATATCATTGATCTTAATAGAACTGAATTGTGTGAAGTGTTTTTGTATTTATTATATTTCATTTATAGTGCGTTGACATGTGACTGCTTCTAGCATGTTAGTGTTCCAGTGTTCTTGTCCTATCTTATATTGAGGACTGGTACACGAAGATGGACGACGGGCAAGACGAAAATCGTTTTATGCCCAATTCATCAAGCCTTTAATTGTTGCCTAGCCTTGTTAGTTGATATCGCATTGAGAAAAGATCGGAGTCTAATCTTTCCAGTATCATGGTGGACTTGGGTTGAGCCTAAAACACGTTGGTGTATAAGATATATTTTTGCGCATAAGAACACGGATACTAATTGTGATAAAGCACAAGTGATATTCTTATTCTTCGGACATTTTACATAGAGAATTTCGAAGGTTTTATACTTAGTATGTTATCTGTGAGAAACAGCTGATGTGATGCATTGTTTTACACAGGAAATGTTTAAATGGTACATTATTAATAGTCACAAAAGTAATTTTTGTTGATATGTTTTATTTGTATTTGCTATGACAAGGTATATCGGATTGACATACTAGATACTTGTGTGTTGATTAGATTAAGGCTTTCATAAGAAAGGTGAATAAAAATTAAAAAGGTAACGATTCATGTTTCTAGTATGTATCCCTTTCACGTGGTTCTGTGATTCTTTAATCGGGATTCAAATCAACCCATGTACATGTACATTTGCAAACATGACAACATGTGCAAACGACTTCAACATACTGAATATCAAATAACTAAATAATTACATTAGTCTGAATAAATCATATTTGCTTGATGAATTACTCTGGGGTCAAGCATCTTTTGCCTTGCGTGCCTATCGAGAGATACAGTGTCCAATAGCCTATCGAAGCCTAGTGTCTAACCTTGCCATTTTGTGCAGTGTTTCTAGTGTATATCATGGCCACATGCCTTGAAGAACACGAGGTGTGTCCATTTTAGATGAAACCGTGATATCAAATATTTCGAATGGTGCCCCAAGCTTATTACCATTTCAGACAATCTGGACGATCAAATAACGATAAGATTGGAGATTTTATGCCTGACAGACAATCGAAATTATATATTACCACAGTATAGTACTTATTACTGCCGCTTTTAGCTCCTACAATAATTGCGGCAAACAGACTCCTAGGTATCAGGTAACATGGCAATAATGAGAAATGCTCCAGGGGTCGTCCAAAATAGCATTACATCTCATAAGCGTTCAGTCAAACGACATAAGAGAAAGAACAGTGACGTTTGCACTCATACTTGGGAGCTGTTTTAAACCACATTGTGCATGTTTGTCAAAATATGTGAAATACTTACAGAGCAAATTCGACAGGATATAGATGGGGCAAAAGCAGCTATCACGTTTTCGGAGCTGGATGTTGTATTGGTGATCTGGGTCTGGATTGTCGGCATACAGCGAGATTCCTCTAATATTTTATCAGAGATGAATAGGTGTGGTAAAGGTATTAACTACGCTTTCAATAGGCCAGATGACGTGTCTCGGGAATATGCCAGTTGCGAAATTCATGTTTACCTTTTTCAGCAATTGCTGAAAGTTACTTTCGGGGAAACCGTTTGATATTCAATGGTATTCTTCTTCAACGCTACCCTTTTCTGCTGGATGTGCTGGATGTACTTGAAAACGTAACGTAATTTTTTATTAAAATCGTATGTTCCTCCCTACGTCAGAGGTGGTGGGGTAGCCAAGTGGTTAAAGCGTTTGCCGCGTTTGAATTCCCATATGGGTACAATGTGTGAAGCCCATTGCTGGTCTCCCCGCCGTAATATTGCTGGAATATTGCTAAAAGCGGCGGAAAAATACGCTCACTCACTCTAAAGTGTCATTGGCGGAAGTCAATATAAAGCGTTAGCTTATCACACCAAAGAACATTGTTCAGTTCATTACAAGAGTGCTATGTGGAGCCCATTTCTGATGTCCTGGTCATGAGGCGGCGTCATACCGGACTCACACTTTCTCTCACTGTCATGTAAACTTACTTATCACCTCATTGATCGTGTCATGGCATCGTATAGATTACACAGTAATCTTTTGAACCACTGCTTTATCGATATCAAAGGTGTTTCGAAAATATTGCACGAGTGCTTCATTCACTATCTTGATGTAATACGTATATTTCCTATTATTGTCATTTCGTGTCGTTTAATGATGAAATAGACACACAAGTCGGTAAAAAGAAAAAAATATAAATGAATACACCTTATATATGTGATGCTTTGAAAGCAAAGTTAAAGTTGCACTGGACAAACGACGAACGAAAACAACAACTACTACTACTACTACTTCTGCTACTACTACTACCACCACTACTACTACTACTACTGCTGCTATTATTACTACTACTACTATCGCCATTACTACTACTACCGCTATTACTACTACTACCACTATTACTACTACTACTACTACTACCGCTATTACTACTGCTACCGCTATTATTGCTACTACTACTACTACTACTACTAAGCAATTACCTAGCCAATAAACCACTACAGCTACTACTACTAATATTAATACTAATAACGAAAATGCTAGGTCGCAATTGGTGTGTTTCCTTTCACCATTATATAATGCAAATTAGAAAATGATAATTGTAACATGCTAAATTTGGGATTACATTTTCTCTGTGAAGTACAGAGTCTTATACTTTTCTTAGGTTGAGTCCCATCCGAGATTCAAACCTTTGCATTCAGAGTCAGACCTAACCACCTGCACACAAAGTCACTTTCCAAATGGCTTTCTGTATTCATAGCTTTCGGCCTCGGGGAGTCGTGCCATTTCACACTTGCCAGAGAACTCAGAGGTGATGTAGACTACCAGTTGCCCGACGTCTGACTACCATAGTTGAATATCCCTGAGTCTGTGGGCAAAATAGTTTTAAGTCAATATAAATGAACGCATTGTAACCGTGATTTGTTTATATGATATGACATGATCCAAACACCACATACAGTGAACTACTGTATACTAAACCACAAACTCTAAATGGTCATAGTGCAGGGTACGGTGAGTGAGTGAGAGAGTGTAGTTTTACGCTGATCTCAGCAATATTCCAGCTATATAGCGGCGGTCTGTAAACAATCAAGTCTGGGCCAGACAACCCAGTGATCAACAGCATGAGCATGCATCTCCGCAACTGGGATACCATGACATGTGTCAACCAAGTCAGCGAGCCTGATCACCCTATCCCGTTAGTCGCCTAAAGCATGGGTTACTGAAGAGCAACTCTAACCCAGACCTTCATGGGTATACAGGGCACGGTATTGTTGCACAGTTGTATCCCGAAACCAGTGACAAATTTCTTCGAATTCCGGATGATATAGTAAAGTTCACGAACACAATATATGTCCTGCAAAAGACAATACATGACATAGATAGTATTGTGAAGATATACAACTAAACGTAGACCGCAAAGAAGGAAATCCATGACCGAAAACACTGGTAGTAAATACTTCATATACCATCATCAAGATACCAGTAAAATGTTATAATATGAAGCTACTACATGATAGTCAAAACTGAAAAGAAAGTATTGCCAGATATAATTGTATCACTTTTTCGTTTCGTTATCATTCAACATTTCACTGACCTATTCTGGTCACGTGGAAAGGTTTTCACGATGTAAATCTGCTGATGGACAAGCGATGCCAGTAGAAGACATGATCGTAATTCCAAACTAAACTGGCGTTCAAAAGAAAGTAAACAGGCAAAATTGGGTCAAATAGCAGCAAAATAATAATGAATAACTTACGATACACAGGTATTGGGGTGGCATTTACAATTGATACACATAAGGAAGAGAAGTTTTATGGATGTCAACTTCTTTATTATGGGGAACACAACGTTTCGGAGTATATCCTTACTCCTTCATCAGGTGAATGAATGGTATGAGGCGGAGAGCATATATATGTACATGTAACAACAACAACAGTAATAAGACAACAAAGAGATGCAGGCTAAACAATTGAACAAATAGGGGCGGTATTCATAAAGCTTCTCAGAATTTTCTTAGTTTTTCACTTAAGTTTCCTTAATAATTCTTAAGTTTAAGAAAAATTCTTAGTTTCTTTCTTAACCCACACTAACTTAGTGGATTTAAGAATTCTTAATTCTTAAGAAAATTCTTAGAAGCTTTATGAATACCGCCCCAGGGGCCGGATTCACTAAACTCTTAGAATTTTCTTAGTTTTTATGCTTAAGTTTCCTTAAGAATTCTTAGCTGAGAATTTATCTTAAGTAGCAATCCACCACGCAACTAAGCATAAATCTTAGCTGAGATATTTTAAAATTCTTAGAATTTTCTTAGTGAGAAACGCATGGGATTATGGGATACAAATTTATGCTAAGAAATATTCTTAGATGACGTATGGAAATCCCCGTATCTATTAATAGCATAGTTGAACTCTCCTCGCGTGGAGATAGAAAAAAAGTTACGCAGACGACAACAATCAGAATGGAGAAGAAAAGTGTCAGAAAACCCAACTGGACGGCCGAACAGACGTTGTACTTAACTCGCCTTGTTGAGGAAAACAAGGCTGTGTTACTCGGCAAGTTTGGACAGGGCGTGACATCTGCGCGAAAGAAGGAAATTTGGACGCATATTACTAAGCAGATCAATGCCACCTTCACAGGTAAGTGACGATCGTAAATTTTGAGTGCACTTTAAAATGTTATCACCTTATATATGTAACTGTAAAGTATTTGCCTCCTACAATAATTAATGTATTTTTTATTGATTTGGAAAGAAGTTAAACGTTGAAGTAAGTGCAAGTTTCATATGTGCTATTTTCGATCACCCATCTCAAAACGGAAGGATTTCCGCCCGTATTTATTTCTAATCATTATATGCCTGAGAATATCCGCCTATGTTTTTATAAACAGGCTATACCTAACCTAAAACCCTAAAATCCAACCCCAAACATTACCCTAAACCCTTGAAATAATCCTAATAAATAGAATACATTTCAAGCGGGGGTTACGGGCTGAGCTCTTACCATCAAAACTTTGACGAGTGATATTGGATTTATGCATTCAAACATCATATTGTTTGTGCATATCAACTGATTATAATCATTTGAATTAACAAATACTGAAATCAAATGTTACACATCTTCTGTTGTAATAGCTTACAAGTATACTACAACCGACATGCTTAGTATGTTCATTGAAATAACATTTGAGTAATGTATTTGGGCCAGTTTTGTTGTATCTAGTCAAATGTAGATGTTTTTGTGAATGAAAATGATAACAGTGAATTAGGGTTGGTTTGACATGTTGATAATTCTGTAAATCTATCTTAGAAATATAGGTTGATATTCAGGTATTTATCAAGGCAGGTAAGATATTTCTATCGCAGGTTTTCATGTGAAGGAATCACACATGAAACATTCTATTTCACCCAAGTGTGAAGTAATCACACATGTATCATTTTATTTTACCCAGTGTGAAAGACTCACACATTTTCATTTTATTTTACCCAGTGTGAAAGACTCACACATTCTCACACATTATCCTTTTATTGTACTGCAGAAATGACCCATTTGTTTTGTTGTGTTTGCAGAATATTTCTCATGTGTACCATTATTTTATTTAATCAAACACTGACCCCTATGATTTATTGTTCATTATTTTGACTCCCTTAAAGCTTTTGAATGGCAGTCCATTTTGTGGAGTTGGTTCAATTCCAACCAGAGGCACACACAGAGTCAACGTTTATATGTTTTCATGTTAATATTAACAATAGTATGTTGAAAATAGCACTAATATTGTGAAATGTGACTAACATTAGTGGGCAAAGTGGTCTCTTATCATACCTTCAGACTGAACCTTTGTTAATATCAGAATTGGGTTGTCAATACCATTACATCATGAATTTAAAAATGTGAATTTAATGTAAATGAAAATATTTGATTTCATATTTGTGTCCTCAATTGTTTCATGAAATGTTTTTTTTCATTTTCTCCCAGGATGTGTCAGGACAAATGACGAAGTGGAGAAAAAGTGGCATAATACCCAGTCGAAGTCCAAGTCTGAAAGTGTAGCATATAAGAAAGGGGCTGTATCTACAGGTAAGAGCTCAAATATAGATTTATGGTCCATACTTTTGATTTTGGACAGTCTGTGTGTGATGAAAAGTGATCACTTTGAAGGAGTATAAATTGAGTAATAAATGGTCATGGTGTAACCGGGTTGTGATGGGTAAGAATGGCGTTCAAACACAGGCTACGGGTGTGAGGTTTTATTTGCAGTTAGAGATTTAACGACACCCTGCAATACACAAAACAATAACATAAGGTAATATCATAAAAACATGATGCATCTTTCACATACGAGTAACTTACAATTACACATTCACATTCGCATATAAATATCTTTGTTAATGAGGCATAAAATCATTGTCTTGATTACATAAAGAATTCATCAAGTGCGATAACTCTATGTATGGGTACTATACATTAGGTATACAATGAACATGGATCATTGTTATAAAGTACATTACATGTTCTCAATACAATAATTAATTATCACTTTCTGGCACCAATGATACAGATGGCAATCAGTGATACATATGTATCATAATATATTATTTACAATATATACTATTCACAACAAACTATTCAGAACTGGTGTCTGCCACAATGGTAATAATAATAATGAGAGAATGATGTATGAGTATAGATTATATAGGCAATGTCAGATCATATTATTACTTATGTGACATTATTTAGAGCTTACCAAAAGAAGTGCAAGTGATAAATGACATTGGTCAGTGTGCAAATTAGGCTGTTTACAGGGTCTTGAATTGAACAAAATATATTCACCCCAAAAAATTCCCCCTAACAAAATAAGTTGAATAGACCCTCATGAAAAATATGCATTTCGCTTACGTCTGATTATGTTTCAATCCATGGGTAATTATGAAATTATCTATACATTGCAGGTGGTGGGCCGTCACCTTGTCCACGTTTAACTGAAACAGCAGAAGTCGTGTGGGACATACTTGGGAAGGACAATGTGTCCATATCAGGAATACCAGATTCAATGGACTCAACTCTACTGCAGATAAATGAGTCTACTCAGTCAAGGTTTGTCAAAACATTCAGCTTTACTGTATGTCATTAGATAATTCCTTCAATAAAATTGGTTGCATCACATTCCAAATATTGATAACAAATTCTATTTTCAAAATAAACTATTGACGAAATCCAAAATGTAAAAATCACATATCAAGAAGATTAATAAAGCTCTCTTTCCAACATTTATCCCTTGACTGCCTTTAATGTTTGATATTTATAATTTTCATGGGGTATTATACCCAAAACCCTTCTAAAAGTGATCCCTACTTAGTCTTACCTATATGAAAGACCCTTAGCCTTGACATAATATGAAAATGAATAACTGCATATAAACTGTGACCTGAATACATGATAACAAGTAAAACTGATTATAGTTTATTTAAATTTCAGTGATGCCATGTCATTTTTAGACATCCAGGCACTGACAGCTGTGGGATGGTGCCTGGAAATGGTCACCAGTGTTGCAGATGTGGCAGATGTGGCGGTTACTCCAAGCAATCCGAGTGATGCAGCAGTTTCCACTGTCAAGGCCGTACACACAGTCACTGCAGCAGCAAGTAGTAGAAGATGTGCTCCCCCAGCAAGGAGATCCAATCTTGAACCATGCCTTGAATGTGATGAACTGTATCATAAGAAGATGAAATTAGAAATTGAGGTTCTTGAACTAAAAATAAAATGACGGAACACAAACCAGAGAAATTTATGGAAGAGTAGAAGACTACTCATGCTTCTATAGGTTATCAAGTACTGGTTTCACTTATTGCAGCTACCCAAATATAGATTACCATGTCAGTCCTACATGATGCTTAAGGCACTCGATGAGTGTGGGAGAATTACATGGGCTAGTAAGGTTAAACAGATACTATTTCAATTTGGTTTGGGTTATGCTTGGCTTAGCCACAATATTGCAGATTCATAGGCTTTCATATCTATGTTCAAACAGAGGTTTTGCGATAATTTACAGGAGTCATGGTACTCCTATGTAGAATCTTCACCTAAATGTTATCTCTACAAAACCTACAAATATTTGTTGAATGTTGAAAATTACTGATGTTGTGATTTACCTTTACATGTAAGAAATGCTATTTCCAGATTTAGCTGCTCAAATATTAAAATTGCTATAGAAACAGGAAGATACACTAATGCTGATAGACATCTAAGGCTGTGTAGCCACTGTAAAAATAATAATGTAAATATTATTGAGGACGAATATCATATTTTGCTGGAATGTGCTTTATATGTTAATATTAGAAACAAATACCTTATTGAAATATAATCATATGTCAGATGTTAATATTTTAAAATATTCAAACACAATTACTGTATATAATGTTGGAAATTATTTGTGTAGACTTTTAACCCTTCCAAGTTGTAGATTACCTCATCAATTTTATTTAATGTTAAAGTCTTTGCAAGAATCTGGACATATGGCAACCACAGAATGAAAATATCTATTGCATTCTTGGTGAGTTTTAAATGATGTTTATATTAAAGTTAAGTTATTTTGGTATTTTACTGTCATGTTGATGAAAATATCTAATAATTTGCCTTACCCTAGAAGTGAGTGTTGGCAAAGTGATCCCTGTAAATCAGGTTATGTCCAGACAACTGTGGCACAATCTGTGGTTGGTTGCCGTCATCTGGGTCAATCGACTCACCATCAGGCAAGGGGATGTTTCACAACTTGCATATGTTGTGCAAAACTGCACAACATGTGATCACCTGTTGTGAAAGACAATTATATGTAAATAAAAGTTCTTTTCATTTAAAATTGTTATCTTGTTATTATTTTGCCAATAGTGTTGTGTGGGGCCACATACCGGTAAGATATCTTGTTTCTCATTTCTGTATATTACTTCTAATATATTTGTATATGTTTCGCTGGAACACCATCATTCTGAACATCCTTTATCTGTTGTCATTTCTACGAGTTAATTTCTGCTGATGAACAATATAAACAACACCGACATCCAACTGGACCATATTTTTTATTTTTAGGAAACAGTTCTTAGATATAACACGAATCTTTATTTGGCGTCAGATTGTTTGAATAATGTCAATCCTTTTAATGGATGATTTTAAGAAGATATAAATTGAGTGTTTAAAAACATATATATTAACACTTAACATACATACACATGCATAGAAGCCCACACACATACAAGAAATACATCAAATACATTTTAAGAATCATAAACATACACCAAATATAAATGTTATATAAGATTATTTTCTACTTGTGAACATGTTTATGAATTTACTTTTTTAGCAGATTATTCTCATCTTATATTGCATTAAACCTGTAAGTATTGCATATATAATTAACAGTTAAGTAATAAAGCACAGTTTAATTACAAATAACATTGGTTTTACACAGATGAATAACTCTTCCACATTTATTATTTTATTACCTTGCATGTTTTTTTCTGGGGTTAATCTAATTTCTCCATGCAACACATGAAAGCGCCGCTTGAGTTGCCCTATTTCCCTCTCCACTATGCTGCGTGTCCTCTTATGAACTCTGTCAAAAATTCAAACGTTATGAAGATTATTTTAAAATCTGCAATAACATATTTTGCAATTTCTAACTGGCATGTAAATAAATAACATGATATAGATGTAGATAAATAATCTATTCAGCCCTAAAGCATTCTTTTATGTTTACTGTCATTTCATTACGTATTTGTCAGAAAGTTTATGATGTATTCTAGGATTGTAGATTGTTCCAGGAAAGAAAAACATCAGTTTTTTAATTCACCCCAGTAACACTTTTATAGTCATATTTGACAGGGGGCATAACTCTAATTGACTAACCAAAAGTCATGTCGTTTGCAAGATTCGATTTACCTGTTGTATGCTGTCTGAGAGCCGGGATTTGGCTGAAGATAAGGGGGTGAGGAGCCAGTCTCTACATGGGTATCCACTGTCTTCAAGCAGGTGGCAGCCGGCAGGCATCAGGTGGCGAGAGAACAAAGCACAAACGCCGCTCTCGGTCAGTATGCGCGAGTCATGAGTGGACCATTTCGCAACAATATCAATGATGTGTGATCTGTGGTCAAAGACAACCTGAGTATTGGTGCTGTGGTACTGCTTTCTGTTCACATAAGCAGGTTCGTGTTGGGATGGTGCCATAATCTGAATGTGGGTGCCATCTATAACCCCAACCACTCCGGGAAAATTAGCGATGCCATAGAAACCAAGTAGGTTTCGTCGGATTTCAGTCGGACTGGTAGGAAACAAAACGAACTGTCGAACAATGGCAGGGGCAGACAGTGCAGTTATTGTTTGGTTAATGGCCCTATTCACTGAAGACTGTGAAACACCAATGTGGTCCGCATTACACAGCTGCATTTTGCCCGTTGCAAAGTAACGCAGCGTCAGTAGAACTTTCTCAGTAGCTGATAAAGGATGACTTTTTTGAGTGAGAGGTGAAATTTCATTGGAAATTGATGGTATACGATTTGTAGTAAGTCTCATTTCCAATGAAATTTCACCTCTCACTCAAAGAAGTCATCCTTTATCAGCTATAATCCCATGCGTTTCTCACCAAGAAAATTCTAAGAATTTAAAAATATCTCAGCTAAGATATATGCTTAGTGGCTTGGTGGATTGTTACTTAAGATAAATTCTCAGCTAAGAATTCTTAAGGAAACTTAAGCATAAAAACTAAGAAAATTCTAAGAAGTTTAGTGAATCCGGCCCCTGGGGCGGTATTCATAAAGCTTCTAAGAAGCATAAAAACTAAAAAAAATTTAAGAAGTTTAGTGAATCCGGCCCAAGGGCCCCGTTTCACAAAGCTGTCGTTAGTCTATGTTAGGATATGGGAGTTACGATCACCTTAGCGCTACGACTGTCGTTAGTCTATGTTAGGGTATGGGAGTTACGATCACCTTAGCGCTACGACTGCCGTAAGTCTATATTAGGGTATGGGAGTTACGATCACCTTAGTGCTACGACTGTGGTTAGTCTATGTTAGGGTATGGGAGTTACGATCATCTTAGTGCTACGACTGTCGTAAGTCTATGTTAGGGTATGGGAGTTACGATCACCTTAGTGCTACGACTGTCGTTAGTCTATGTTAGGGTATGGGAGTTACGATCATCTTAGTGCTACGACTGTCGTAAGTCTATGTTAGGGTATGGGAGTTACGATCACCTTAGTGCTACGACTGTCGTTAGTCTATGTTAGGGTATGGGAGTTACGATCACCTTGAGTGCTACGACTGTCGTTAGTTTATGTTAGGGTATGGGAGTTACGGTCACCTTAGTGCTAAGACTGTCGTAAGTCTATGTTAGGGTATGCGAGTTACGATCACCTTAGTGCTACGACTGTGGTTAGTCTATGTTAGGGTATGGGAGTTACGATCACCTTAGTGCTACGACTGTCGTTAGTCTATGTTGGAGTATGGGAGTTACGATCACCTTAGTGCTACGACTGTGGTTAGTCTATGTTAGGGTATGGGAGTTACGATCACCTTAGCGCTACGACTGCCGTAAGTCTATATTAGGGTATGGGAGTTACGATCACCTTAGTGCTACGGCTGTCGTTAGTCTATATTAGGGTATGGGAGTTACGATCACCTTAGTGCTACGACTGTCGTTAGTCTGTGTTAGGGTATGGGAGTTACGATCACCTTAGCGCTACGACTGTCGTTAGTCTATGTTAGGGTATGGGAGTTACGATCACCTTAGCGCTACGACTGCCGTAAGTCTATATTAGGGTATGGGAGTTACGATCACCTTAGTGCTACGACTGTGGTTAGTCTATGTTAGGGTATGGGAGTTACGATCATCTTAGTGCTACGACTGTCGTAAGTCTATGTTAGGGTATGGGAGTTACGATCACCTTAGTGCTACGACTGTCGTTAGTCTATGTTAGGGTATGGGAGTTACGATCATCTTAGTGCTACGACTGTCGTAAGTCTATGTTAGGGTATGGGAGTTACGATCACCTTAGTGCTACGACTGTCGTTAGTCTATGTTAGGGTATGGGAGTTACGATCACCTTAGTGCTACGACTGTCGTTAGTTTATGTTAGGGTATGGGAGTTACGGTCACCTTAGTGCTAAGACTGTCGTAAGTCTATGTTAGGGTATGCGAGTTACGATCACCTTAGTGCTACGACTGTGGTTAGTCTATGTTAGGGTATGGGAGTTACGATCACCTTAGTGCTACGACTGTCGTTAGTCTATGTTGGAGTATGGGAGTTACGATCACCTTAGTGCTACGACTGTGGTTAGTCTATGTTAGGGTATGGGAGTTACGATCACCTTAGCGCTACGACTGCCGTAAGTCTATATTAGGGTATGGGAGTTACGATCACCTTAGTGCTACGGCTGTCGTTAGTCTATATTAGGGTATGGGAGTTACGATCACCTTAGTGCTACGACTGTCGTTAGTCTGTGTTAGGGTATGGGAGTTTCGATCACCTTAGCGCTACGACTGCCGTAAGTCTATATTAGAGTATGGGAGTTACGATCACCTTAGTGCTACGACTGTCGTAAGTCTATGTTAGGGTATGGGAGTTACGATCACCTTAGTGCTACGACTGTCGTTAGTCTATGTTAGGGTATGGGAGTTACGATCACCTTAGTGCTACGATCGCTTTGTGGAACGGGGCCCTGGGGCGGTATTCTTAAAAGGACTTAAGTCTAACAAATGACTTAAGTTCTCAATAAAA